ACTGGGCCACGACCAGGGACAAATGAGCTAACTGACCCACAGCTTATACCACACTGTTTGCTTTTGTATGCGTGTGTGTGTGTGTGTGTGTGTGAGAGAGAGAGAGAGAGGGTATGTGCACAAATGTATCATCTTTTGTTTCTTCTGCATGTGTGTCTATTTGTACGTTAGCATGATAAGATGCTTTTGATAATTCCATGCAGCAGCAGTTGTAACAATCTGTGGCTATTTGATTAGTTGTAATGGTAATGAACACAGAGTAAATTTACACAGTATACCATTTTTAATGCAAATTTCTCCCCTTAATTTGGTTCACCAGGATCTCTGTCGATGTTTGATGAACTCAAGCTATTATACATCCTGAAGCAGCTTGTGTTTTCTGCTCTTATGCTGCATTATGCTCCAGCTAAAACTGGTCCGTTTTTATAAATATTTTTTAGTTTATCAATGTTAACTAGTGGCGCAAGAGAATATTTGGCATTTTTGCTTGAAAAATTAAATAAATGATCTATTATGAAAATAGAAATGTATTAACTTTCTGTGGATCAAATTAACAATTAATGGATTACCGTAATCACTTCAGCTCTAATGTAGGTTAGAGATCCATTGTGTATTCTATTTGTGTGTCATTTTGGTAATTTGGATATGTTTGTCTCCATTGTCAGAATGTACATTGGAAAGAATGAAAATCATTGTGTGCTAATAGTCCTTAAAATAGAGCTGTAACATCAACAGAAACAGGAGTTTGCTGTATGCTGCAGCCAATATGTTTGAAGCAACATTAGCACCACATCTAGGACACAATAATTATTCATACTACATCCTTGTTTGCCTCTGTGTGTGTGTGTGTGTGTGTGTGTGTGTGTGTGTGTGTGTGTGAGAGAGAGAGAGAGAGAGAGAGAGAGAGAGGGAGAGAGTGCATGTGTGTGTGTGCATGTGTAATGCCACCTATCCAAAGGGAATTCATCCTAGAAAACTGGGATGAAGATTAAGATATCGTCAGACTTTACCTTGTTCTCCCCTCGCCTCATTATCCAATCGCCCCTCTTACCCTGAATCTCTTGCCCTCCTGCTTTCATCCTTCCCCTTGAGCACATTTTGTTCACAACCTTCTCTTCCTCCCTGCAGCAGTAAGAAAGGTTTTGCAGCCTACAGCGGAGGCTTTGAGTTCTTGTTAGTATTTTGCACATACTGTGAATAGTAATACGTTTGAGCTCACATGCCTGTTTTCCTCATGTTAGTAGATGATCTATCGGCTTGGCCACGGTCCCAAACTCATTATAGCCAAGCCCTCAAACTCAACCTCAGTGGGGGAAGGATGTGCTTAACACAAATATTTTATTTATCCAGATAAAAAAATAATCAGTGGGCAGATAACATCACATTCTGTTGTTATTTAAATAAACAGAAACATATATGGAATAATGAAGTACCGACATGGTACTTGTCTAGTTTAAAGTGGCCATAATCAATATTTTAATATTAATAATGCATCACATGACTACTTGGTGTGAAAGGGTCACTCATATAGTGATGAAACCACAGCGAATGATCAACTCAGCAGTTTTAGTGTCTTTCCTCTCATTGTTTTGGGTTTTATGGCCTGCAACTTTTTTGACTCAATCTCATGCTATCATTGCAGCAGGGAGATGTTTTCTGCGGAAAAGAAACTAAGCTGTTTGCTGTATGCTACCTGCTCAGCACCAAATAACAGACAGCCGCAGTTAGCAACTGGTGAACTTAGCGGAGCATTAAGCAGCTAAAGAGCCAGATATTTACCTCAGGAGTTAGTGGAGACAGAAACATATAAAAGGAAAGGGAATGTTGGACTTCATCAGGTGGCCAGAAACACGACTCCTAAATACATGTTCCTCCGTTACTGTTGGATGTGTAAATAGGTAACTATTTGATATCATAATTTGCTAACATGATATCATATTGACCTGAAGTCCAACATTCGCTTTTCTTTTATTTGTCAGTGATGTGTTCATAGCTCGATTCCTCTGCATAAAAGTGTCCAAAAAAATCAGTTATTGCTGGTTTTAAAAAAGGCCAAAAGTTTTGAAATGATTATGAGTCCTATCTTTTTACAGTGCCAGGTTATACAAGCAAACAGTAGACTTATATATTTTCATCCACACACTGTACACAGTATATAAACAAACAATTTGAAACCGTAGCGAGAGGCAAGCAGTATACCAGAGCAACATATAAGATATTGGTACTAAAGAAAAAGTATGTAATAGATTATTGACTCAGGGTCATAAACATAATTCCTGGCACTAAAAAAGAGTTGTAAAGACATCATAACCAGTAAAAGGCTGTGCAAAACAATGTAATATTAAATAGACGAATATACGATTCCTCTCCCTCAGGTTCTCAGGCCTCCTGAGCCATCCACAAACCAAAATCCAAAATTACATTATCCAATAGATCAGATTTAATTTACACAACTGTTTCTCATTTGTATAGTTTTCCATTTTAGCAGTATTTGTTGTTGCAATGAGAGGCAGGTCAGCAGTAAAATAAATATGGAGAACAGGCTTATTTGCTTCAGCACTGAGAGTTTGTAGGCCATGTTGATGGACCCTAGTTGCCTGCCAACTGTCTCATCTGACTGGCGTGGAGGTTTGTTGCTCTCTTCCAAAAACACAGCCGACCACTCTTCATTAAAAAAGCAAATAGCACACCCCAACAGAAAAGCAATACAAGCAAACAGAGCCAATTGGTTCTGAAGAGACAAATTTAACAGGCAGATATGATTACCTCAGACACCACTTCTCCCCTGATTCCACAAACAACAGTTAGGCAAGTCAATTTGCCTTAATTTCATTGGAGGAGAAAGCCAGCCAGCCAGGTTGAAGTCAGTACTTGATGCGAGTGAGCGCTCGTTAGACGATAATGGATGCGTGTAATTGGTGAAGTGCTGATTGCTCCCCCAAAAAAGATTCCATCGGAGGAGAATTTTCTGTTTCATTAAGCCATGGTCAGAAATAATAAGATAGCCATCTGTAGACTGAGAGAGAAAAAGAGAGGGGGCTGGGATATGGAAAGTGCTCATGATCAGAAATGGGAGCAACAACTTCCAGAATTGTCATATAGTGGTATTCATTGTTAAGATGATAATAACTAAGAGACAGATTGTGGGTTTTGGGGGTGGGGGGTGGGGGGTTCTTCATTGATTTATACTCATTTTTTCTGTTGTAAAATATCATCTGTATATTTACTTTTATCTTCACTTCTGTGTTTTCTGTCATTTTCCCTACGCTCTTAATCACGCAGGCTGAATGTATGTGTTTTTCATTCTGCCATGTGTATACGTCTTCTTGGTTTACAGCCTTAATGCATCATTGGCTGGCTGCACACCAACTGGCTTTTATGGCCCGGGATCTGACACTGTAAAGCATGCTCCGATAGGCATGCAAACGCACACTGATACAGACACTTTAGAGCCACAAGTGCTTACTCATCACACCGCATGGAGGGAAAGCATTGTGAGCCGTTTATGTGCTTTGTTTTTCAATGCCCTGATTACGAAGGAGTGCATGGTCTACAGCTCATGTTTTTGTGCCCCTCTCTTTCTCTCTCTCTCTCTCTCTCTCTCACTATGTGAGCACATCTTCCTCATTTATTTGTGACAATAGAACAAGACATGACTCATCCAAGATAAGACAGATGAAGGGTGTGAGTCTTATGGGCCAGAAAATGAAGACAGTAATGGCAGTTCTATAGAAGTAGGTCCGGTGGCGGTTTGTGTGCAAGGAAAGCCCACTATCATTTCCAATCAGCTGCTAGTTCTGCATGACTAATGCTGAAATGACATATATCGTTGTCAGATAGGGCATGTTCACACAGCTGTTTTTTTTTTTTTTTTTTTTTAGATACAGGCATAATAATGACAGCTTCCAACACACACACACATTTGTGCACACTAGCTCACTCTTATCTTGCTGGCTGACACCATTTTGCTCTCTAACAATCTTGCTAATTATAATTGTTAATTAATTCTCTGCCAGTGTCCTCATCAGGAGACTAATAACCTACATTTCCATTAATTAGACCTTCAACCCTTCGCTCCCTCTCTCAGTCTCTCCGTCCCACTCCAATCCACCCCTTCGTCCCCTGCCTGCCTGCTTCCATGCTCCCGCCTGCTGCTCTCTTCTCCCAGGATTGTTCATAGACCATGTGCACACATGGAGTGTGATTAATTGTGTGTGTGTGTGTGTGTGTGTGTGTGTGTGATTGTGTGTGTTTGTTGCTTGTATCACTGACATTGCGGGGACAAACGGCAAAAAAGGCTGCTGTTTTAGGGTTAAAGGGATAGTTTGACATTTTTGTATTATTATATATATTATGAATATGCGTATTTGCTTTCTTGCCAAGAGTTAGATGGAAAGATTGAGATAATCATTTCTGTCTTTGTCTGTTGCTCGTAGGCCTATATGTAGCTGGAGCCAGCACCTTGTAAGCTTAGCTTAGCTTAGCATAAAGACTACAAACAGGTTGATGTTTGCCTGGCTCTGACTAAATGCAAAGTAAGAAAATCTGCCTACTGGCACCTCCAAAAGTACACTAATTAACACATTATAGTTGTCCAAGTCTCTGCTGGTTGCCTGGCAACTGGTCTGGCAGATAAACCCCCGAAAAACAGCAAATTGTTCTTTTTACACTTGTGCACTTGAGTTTTGTACGGATTAAACAAACAAGATATAAGCGTTAATGTGTGAGCTTTAGAGGTGCTAGTTGGAGTTTAATTGGACAGAGCCAGGTTTCCCTCTGCTTCCAGTCTTTAGCTAAGCTAACCAGCTTCTGGCTCCAGCTACAAATACCAGCTACATGAGAATGATATACATTTTCTCATCTGACTCTAGGTAAGAAAGCGAATAAGTGTCATAAATGTCAAATTATTCCTTTAAGACTTGGTTTATGTATCTTGAATGAATGTAAATCAATACAATGTCCTGCTAAGTGATAAAACAAGTTTCTGTGTGTGTGTGTGTGTGTGTGTGTGTGTGTGTGTGTGTGTGTGTGTGTGTGCCCTAGACGCTATGTGGGCAATCAATGGACAAACAGCCCCTCTCTCTTGGAAACTACTCTTCCCATCAGGCTTAGCTGACCTGGTTTCAGTGCACAGTGGAGCAGTGTTATCATGCCACCACTTGCTCTGATCTCTGAACAAATTACCAATGCAGTGAACATACTGTTAACTGCACTGTTGCACAAAAGATTAACACAGTTGTTTATTTCACAGGCCTGTTGATCCTTCAGTCATCTTGATCTGCTGCAAACTTCATGACTTTTAACAGTTTATCTCCACTTCTAACTATGCTTAACTATCCATTTCTCGGACTCTTTGTGCATGAAGCTCCCTGCTCTTCTCTTCCAGACTAGATACTCTCTCTCCTCTCCGTTTCCTCTCTCCGTCTGGCACTCGAGGAAGTGAGGGACAGTTGGCGCTTGCTTGTCCATACTGTATTGGTGGTGGCAAAATGGCAGCTTCTGTCTCATCCGTCCTCCTTCCTCTACCTCCCTCGCCCTCTCCTGAGAGGAGTAACCCAGATTTCAAAATGAATCGCCGCCTATTCCCCTCAATCTTTCTCCTCTCTCTCTCTCTCTCTCTCTCTCTCTCTCTCTCTCTCTCTCTCTCTCTCTCTCTCTCTCTTTCTCTCTTCCTCTCTCTCTCTTTCTCTCTCTCCATCTCTCGTCCTCTTCTTAGTAAAAAGAGAATCAATCTTGGAAAGAGAATACCACCTCTCTATCTCGTCCTCCTCCTCACCCTGCCTCTGGGTTAACGGATATATACCACTTTACTCGTCTATCTTTGATTCCTAGAAAGCTTGAATCTCCCAAAACGTTTGTTGCTTTCTCTTTTTGTTTTAATAGGTTTTTCTATTTCTTTTTATTTTCCTTTTTCGGCTGGTTCTTTCCAACTTTTCGCAGCACTGCTTCTCTTGGTTTTTCTGTCTTGTCTTCCCATCTTTCTCTTTTTTTGAGGTGACCAGCTACAGGTGTGACACCTTAGCCTTTCTTTTGAAGTGAGCCAAACGAAGAGAAGAGAAGGGGGAGAGGAAGAGAAGAAAGCTGTCCTGTAGTCGAGCCTTTCCTACAAAATCACAACCAATTCAGGTATTGTGTATATTTTCTTTGCCATGGGTCTGCACACATTTTTAGAACATATTTTTCTTATTATTTGACTAATTTCTGAGCACTGTGCCATTTTACCCACCATTCTCCTCTTCCACCCTTTTGATTGATTTGCTCCTGCTTCTTTGCTGAGACACCATCATTTCATCACATTTTTAACATCGGTTTTTGCTATGGGCTTATTTATTTATTCATTAAATCTCTGTTGGTGTTTCATTTATCATTTAGTAGGGTGCAACTCTTGCACCACAATCTCTCCAGCTAATATTTGCCGTTTTGCACTTTTTTCCGCACTTCTCATTCCCTATAGACATATACATATTATTCTAGTCCAAACTTTACTTCAGAAATGGGACTAATTGCTAATAAGGGCAGGCAGAAAGTCAAGAGAGGATACAGGCTCTAATATTGGAGCAGGTGGTGGGGGTGTTGTTGACATGGCAACAGGAGGTGCAGTTGACATGACGACCAGGGGGTGGAGGGGTATTCATATCTGCCAGGGAGATGGAGATATAAGGGGGTTCAGAGAGAGGGAGATGTAGGTAGAAAGGACAGGCAGTATGTGGGACACACAGTGAGTTGCACTAATCGTTTAGCGTCTAGGAGTCTCTTAGGAGAGTTCTGTCTCCGTATGTGAATTAACCTCCCTGTCTCCCTCATTACACCTCTCTTTTCTCTTTTACTCTCATACCTGTCGCTTTCCCTGTGCTCCCCCCATCTTCCTCTGCACTTCCGGTCCATTCATCCTTTCTCGATCTTTCTCTCCAACATGTCACTCATTCACCGCTCTCTACCCCACCTCCCTTGTGCCATTAATACAACTCCTGTCTCAACCATGACCCAGTACACTTTCCATCCCTCCCCCTCCTCCTTCTCCTCTTCCTCTTCCTCCCTCTCCCTGTTCTTGCTTCCTCCCCTCCTCCCTCTCATATGTTCAAGGTCTTTGCCTATACCCTCCTCACTGACACTCATCATCATCCACTCCCACTCTCCCTCCCTCACTCCTCTTCCTACTGTATCCTCCAGGCATCATGTCTACCCCGGTCTCCCCCTCCCCCTCTCTCTCCCCGTTGACACTGGCCTCCCCTACATCGGCAACCTCCCCCGGTGCCTCCCCTCTGCCCTCGCCCCTGTCCCCTCCACCCAGGGTGCCCGTGTTCCAGAGGAAGGGAGCGCTCAAACACAAGAGGATTGTGGAGGTGAAAGACCATCAGTTCACGGCCCGCTTCTTCAAACAGCCCACCTTCTGCAGCCACTGCACCGACTTCATCTGGTAACACACACACACATAAGCACTCACACACACAGCTGCACATTTACACAGAAACCAACCCGGCAGTTCATAAGCCGCCTCCTCAGGCATCCCACTACTCCATCTGACTCTGACTTTATCTGCACTTTTTCTTTCTTTCACCAAATCCAGCTGCCTGCTGGAGAAACTGCCCACACTCTGCAGCCACCACACTGACCTGATCTGATCATATAACCTCACCTCCACACTGCTGCCCACACAATACAAGAGTTACTTCTGGAACTCCATGTTCTCACACACATGCAGACACACATATATATTAACATATACAGTATACACACAATTAGGACACAGCTTTTCAGTATGAATGCTTGCACACAGAGTTGCACAAACACACACAAGGAATTATTCATACCTGAAAAGGGGTATTTTAGTAATTCAGTATGTCCTTCCATAAAGCTGGGGGACAGATTAAAATGAAAATGGTCAAAAAAGATGTCCTGACTTATAGTCCGTAATATGGGCCGAGTTTCAAAAATGCTGGATCCTGCATTCCCATAATTCAGTAACAAGTTTCTTTAGGGTTATTTTTCAGAGTTTGGAAAGTTCCTCTCGAGCCACCAAACACCTTCTGTTACTGTTTTTACAGGCTGAGTAGTAGTCCTCATGTAATGAGAAAACTGAACTTCATGTGTAAAACTGGTGGATTCACCTGTAGTGCAAATAAAAGTGTAGATTTCTGATAAAGTACTAATGTAGTAAAATGAACACAGGTATCAACGGTACTAATTCTAAAATTTAATCTGTTTTGCAGTGTTTGTTTGTATTTTAGATTTTTTTGTTAGATTTGAAAGGAGTTTTTGTGTAGGAGTAATTGTTACAAGTTGCTCCAGGTGGCGCTAGATCTACAGTACAGTAACTATGTTATTTTATAAACTGCTGGAGTTTACACTCAAGCTGCCCAATAAAAACCATGTATCTCCAAATTTGGATTCTTTATTTTAAGATAGGATTTAGTGCTCATTTATGCATTAAGAAAAGTCTCCCACTTCTACAATGATGTGATAAATCATTACAAAAATACAAAACAAGCAAGTTAGAAAGTTATGTGGTCACAAAGCTGAAAACTGGGCAAACTTGATGTTGTTGTTTTCACATGACAGGGATGATATGTTTTTTGCAAATTTGAATCTGCATTTTAAAATTGTAACCCATCCTGTGAATGCAGTGGGAAAATATATTCCGAAATTGAGTGGGGAAGCATTGTAAACAAACAACAAAGAAGAATAGAAAAGAAAAGAAAGGAAAAAGAAGTATTCAAGCAAAGTACCAGTGCCTAAAAACTGTACTGAAGTGCAGTACTTGAGTAAATGTATTTTGTTAATGTAAACCTCTGACTTGACAAGTACATGGGTATTCATGTAAATGTGTCTTCTATACAAACAACCATGCATTGAGCTTGTTCTGTCCAGTGAAGCCGGGGCTGTGTGTATGTAACTGGTTGTGCAACTGTGATGTCTGTGTGTGTGCCTGTGTTTGTGTGTGTGTGTGTGTGTGTGTGTGTGTGTGTGTGTGTGTGTGTGTGTGTGTGTGTGTGTGTTTGAACATATGGTGGGGGTGTATGTTGGATGCAGGGTGTAGCATGTGCCAGCAGCCTCTGGGTAGCTTTCAGGACATTTCTCCAACTGGCTGCTGTCTTGGCAACGGTAGCAGCACTTAGCTCAGGGTGAAAACTCTTTTCCTTCACACAGGATGTCAACCTGGGTGTTAAAGCCCCTGGGGGGGATTGGTAGATTAATTAAAGACTAAGAAAAGAGAGTCATAATTTTGAAATGTAAATATCTTGTTTATTAAGTCAGGCTCTAAAAGGGAATGGGTTGTATCTCTATGACTCCTTTGATTATTAATGCAGTGAAGTTGTCTCAAAAGGAAAAAAAAGTGACATTGGTGTCACAACTCAATCTTATGTGTGGTTTAATGTGGGACAAATAAACAGTTGTTCTTAAAGGACCAGTGTGTAGTATTTATAATGATCTATTGGCAGAAATTGAATATAGGATTCAGTGTTTCCTCTAGGATTATTTTTAGCAGTGGGGGCAGGGCCGTCCGCACACCCCCCCGTCCTGTCACGCCGGGAAACGTTTTACGTATGAAACAGAAGTGACACTTCGCTGCGACACAAACAATTATATTTACTGTTTTAATGTTTCCAGATGTTTGATATCAGGACGTTGAGCTGAGAACTGACAAGTTGAACGTTGTCCAATTAAAACGGACCCACCGCGGTGACGTTTTTGGTGGAGCTGTTAGTTTAATAGTCAACTTGGAAGAAAGCGAACATTTTGACAATAAGCTACATCAACACAACAGTATGTGGAGTTAAACTGGACAGCCCCAATAACCTCTGAATAGTTCTACTTGTTGTTAAATTGTAATGTGAGCGGCAGCCAGTGGGGGTGCATTATGTCGGCAGGATCATTTAAAAGGCAACCGTGACTACATTGTGCGTCTGCCCCATTTCTGATACCGTGGCGGCAGAAATTTAACACCGGCGGGCCGCCGCTCCAAAATCAACATAGAGGAAACACTGGTATTTATGTTTTCATTAGTGTAAATAAGAAAATAATCTGTTGTTTTTTTGTTACCTTTAAATTAGCTCTTCTTATCTACATAGGGAGCAGGTCCTCATCCATGGAGGCCGCCATGTCGCACTGTTGTGTTTCCATAGTAGCCTAAAATGAACAAACACTGGCTTTAGAGAGATCCTTTCACGTTTCTATGCTACCAGAAGATCACCATAGGTTCTCCTGCAAGCTTGTAAAAATAGGGGTGAGTGGAGGGGTATTCAGTTGGTTGCTATCTGCAACCTCATCGATAGACGACACTTAATCATACAAATTGGACCTTTAAGTTAAAGCTCAAATGTGTAAAATTTAGGAGGATCTATTGGAATATAATATTCATGAGTATATTTTTTATTATTGTATAATCACAACAAATGTTTCTAACGTAGCCCAGAATGGACATGGACCAAACACTGCTTCTAGATAGGGTCGTTGATGTTTTTCGCGTGTTTTGTGGCCACCATAGATTCTTCTACGAGCTTGGAGGGTGGGGGTAAAGCAAAGTAGTAGCCATCTGCAACTACACGGCTAGATGCCACTAAATCCTACATACTGGTCCTTTAAGAGCTCTGGTTCTAACACTGAACATCACTGAATAAAAACATCCAGTGGTCTCCGGTACTTCAAACAGATCCAAGGACAGATCCTACAGGCATCTTTAACGGCAGATGTTTTGACTTGTCATAGTAGGAAAAGCACAGGTGCTACAAATAACATTACAATAACAAATGACAATAATGGGTCTGTTCCAGGAAGTCATGACGGTGTGACAGTGAACAAACATGCACAATACCAGGACCATGAAACTGAAGCAGCTTAGTGGAATTTTACCATCATTACTTTTCATTTTCATTGATTTGTAATCAGTACTTTACAGTCCAGAATGTTTTTGAGTATTCTGGTCAATTAAATAGCGTGCACCTTTTTTTTTTTTAATGGCATGTGTTTGGAGAGGTGTTTCAATGCATCGTTAAATTTAAAATGCAGTGAATTCCCTCTGATATCTGGCCGGCAAGCAACACTGTCAGGTCTCTCCAAATCCATATCTGGTTCTCTAATGCTCTCTGCTGGTCAAAAAGCAGAACTGGCCTCATACACTCAGTGCTGCAGACAGAGACTTCTGTTGAATGCTGATCAAGGATCAGATTACCCTCTGCAACCCCATCTTTAATTATTACTCATCCAGATGGTGAACTGATTTTAGATCAGTGATTATGGTCAGTTTCCTATGAACCCAAGGGCCTCTCCAGTATAATTGTGGAGGAGTTCTCAGCGATGTCTTGTTCATCTTGCCTTTCTAAACCTCCTAATCAAAAGTTGATTCACAGCAGGCAAGCCGCTGAGTGGACTCTTTAGTCAATCAATGGCTTTAATTATTCAATTAAAGCTCTAAGGAGACACTGGAAACTAGCCAACACCGCAGTTCTGGAAACAGGAGAATTGTGTTTATGTGTGTGTGTGTGTGTGTGTGTGTGTGTGTGTGTGTGACAATAATTGAGACTGTCCTGCTTGACCTGGTCAGCAGTGCGGTTTAGGTACGAAAACTTAAAACTTAACACGTAATGACTTTGTTTATAAAGTTGGTAGTCTCTGACACAGCTAATAGTGTTTGTTTTTTGATGAGACAGAGTTTGTTCTCAACTAATGCAACAGCCCTATCTTTGTCTTGGCAGCATTATCTATACTCTTCCGGCTTAAAAAACAGCCTCAGAAGCAAAGTATTTCACCTTAAAGAGGAGTAGAGAAGATTGTGTTTGTGTCTTAATCTATGTGTCTTTTTCTCTCAGGGGCATCGGCAAACAGGGATTCCAATGTCAAGGTAAAGATAGACTCTGTGTTATTGTCTTTTTCCACACTATTTAATCTTCTCATAAGATTTTCTCAGTGTGACTGATTCATTTTTTGAGGATATTTTTTTCTATCTTTCCTCTAGTTTGCAGTTTTGTGGTCCACAAAAGATGTCACGAGTTTGTGACCTTCACTTGTCCTGGGTCTGTGACAGGCCCCAGGCCAGATGTGAGCATATGTGTCAGCGCTTTCACGTTTACTTGCCTCTTAAATTCTTGTTTTCCATTTTCGTCAAGATTTACCTTGTCATCATTGTCATATTTAGCCATCCGCTCATTGCCAGTAACACATGTGCATGACTCATCTGTCAATCCATACATCCTTCGCATCGCACAGCCTTGTCTCATCTGTGACGTCTGCACTCATGTCATGTCATCCTACAAGGCCTCCCAGATGCAGGGAGTTGGAGATAGAGAGTGGGGGAGATAGAGGTGGAGGGTAGGAGGGACTGATAAGAGGGAGAATTAGAGGGGGGGAGAGCAACAGACTGCTCAGTCTTCCTCTCTGTGGCATTTTGAGGATTTCAGGGAGATTTGTCTTTTCTTTACGTTTTTTTTCTAGCAGCCAAATAAACTGCCTCAGAAATGAGGTCAAGGGGAACATGTGTGTATGTGTACGTGAGTTTGAGTGAAAACGGATAAGAGAGTGAAAGGAACACACACAGAGGGAAAAGAGGAGGTGTTTTTAAATAGCAACTCAGAGGGGCGAGGGAAGGAAAACTGTTTGGGAGAAGGTGGAGTGTGGAGTGTGGAGAGCGGTGGTGGTGGTGGGCTCTCTGAGCTGAAGAGAGATAAAAATGATTCATCCCTCTCTGCACAGTGTACACACACACACACACACACACACACACACACACACATACATACTCACACACAGCTTTGCCTAGATGCACGCTCATTTATATGTCCTCTCCCAGTGGAGAAATCTAATTGGCTTGTCCATGAATACCCCACTCAACATCTCTCCACTAATCATACACTGCATGTGTGTAAAAGTGTGTGTGTTCACAGTTTATTCCATGGTCACTCTGTGTGTGTGTGTGTGTGTGTGTGTGTGTGTGTGTGTGTGTGTGTTTGTGTATGCGTGTGAGTTCTCAATGCAGATTGTTTCTGCTATATTTCAGGACCTGAAGAGTCAACACACATTTAAGGTCCAGACTTACTCCAGTCCCACCTTCTGCGACCACTGCGGCTCGTTGCTATACGGCCTCATACACCAGGGCATGAAATGTTCCAGTGAGTTTCAGCACATATAACAGTGTAATAAATCTCTGTGTGTGTGTACTTGTATTAATCATGTTGTGTGGATAAAAGTCAGTTTACACATGAGACCCATTATGGAGACACACCTCCCAGCTAGGGAAGAAAGCTGGTCCCAGCTAAATTAGCCTCCAAAATTTAGAGTTGGTTACGTTTATGTTTTGGGGAATACACAATATTCACTTGCTTGAGTTTAGACTAGGAGTATCTCCAGTATGTACCTTGTAAAAACACAACTTGTCATTTCTACACTAAAGGTTTTGTACACGCTAAAGAAATTAGATATAACATGTTAATCAGTGAGCTTTAGAGTTGCTCAACTTTGTTACCTTCAGCTGCTAGCTGTGTCCTCCTGTCTCCAGACTTTATACTTAATATATAATACATACATATGAGAGTGGTCTTCTTATTTAACTCTCAGCAAGAAAGCGGATAAGTGTATTTCCCAGTATCTTTATGGTTAGCGTCAGGTACAGGTGTTTTTCAGTGTCTTGAACTATGAACATTTTGGTTATGTGGTATTCACCTTAACCATTACGTCACTAAGACCTAACATTTTATCATTTTGGAACCAGCTATTTTTATCTTTTGATCGAAAATATGTCACACATGCATTTGTTTTTTTCTAACTTGTGTATTTTTGTACTGTGAGGTTGTGACATGAACGTCCATCGACGGTGTGAGACAAGTGTTCCCAGTCTCTGTGGACAAGACCATACAGAGAAGAGAGGAAGGATCCACCTGACTATCAGAGGAGAGTCTGAGGAAGTCTTTGTAACAGGTGAGAGGACCCCGCTAGAATATGGGAAGTCATGTTTTAAAACAAAAAGTAGGATTACACGGGTAATGAAGGATTTCTCACTCTGTACCTTTTATTATTCTATTTTCTCTGCAGTGCGGGAGGCTCGTAACCTGATGCCCATGGATCCAAACGGCCTGTCAGACCCGTATGTTAAACTGAAATTGATTCCGGACCCCAAGAGCCACAGCAAACAGAAGACCAAGACCATCCGCTCAACACTAAATCCCGTCTGGAATGAGAGTTTCACCTTGTGAGTCCTTGTGAACTTTAATCCAAGGTTGAAAATGTACATGGATATGGGGCAAGATATGTTTTCAGAAAATAAAATGTCCTGCGAATTGGAAATACTGAGTTAAGAAAGGACTCTGAAAGAAATAGATAGAATATATGGTTGATCGTATCTGAATATATACAGCTTATTGTACATCAACAGTGTTAACATTTTACCTTTTACTACCTTTATATCAGCATTTTTCTGATATTCAGTAGAATTGAGATATTAGGAAATTGCTTCAAAAACAAAATAAATCCTCCTGTGTCTTTGTGCATTGTTGTGTCGACAGTGAGCTAACTCTCCCCAGTGACTGTGAGTGTTTGTCTCTCCAGCTCAGTGCGCGGTCACCAGTGGGACAGGCGACTGTCTGTGGAGGTATGGGACTGGGACCGCACATCTAGGAACGATTTCATGGGAGCGCTGTCATTTGGAGTGAGTGAGATCTTCAGGCGTCCTATCAGCGGCTGGTTCAAACTGCTGGCCCAAGATGAGGGAGAGTACTACAACATCCCCGTGCCAGACCCAGACCTGCAGGTAGAAAACTTTACTCCAGTGCAGACGAAAAAGTAATCAGTTGGTCATCATGGTGAACAAAAAGCAACAGTGGAGATATTTATACCTCTATTCAGCCCTTTATTTGTTACCATGCTAATGACCATTTATCCTAAGGCCTTGGCATAGCCTTTATCAGCTTATAATTACCTACATCTAATATACAACAGCTGCCACTGCTCACACTGGGTCAGGATCTTGAACTGTCCCTCGGCTTACAATTCTATCTGAGGAAGAAAAAACATGGAAGATTTATGCCTGGTGTTATCTAAATAATTAGATAATAAATTATATGAGGTCCCCTCCCTTCCCTGTTACATCCTGTCTCCACCAGGGTGCAGGATTGTTCTGCCTGACTATAACCTAAAACTAGGGGTAGGAAGGAGTTTGTCTGGTGTTCAGGTGTTGTGTGTGTGTGTGTGTGTGTGTGTGTGTGTGTGTGTGTGGCTGGACTGCATCCAACCATTCATCTCTCAATCCTCCCACTACGATTCTTCAGGAGCCTCAGCCAGACGCCACAACACCATCTCTGCCTCAAGCGATACCTGTCCCACTGTCTGAAGTGTTCCCTGTGGCTCTGTCCCCGACCCCTGTACCATGTCCTCCTGTCCACACCCCAGGCCCTGCCAAAGTCAGAGTGGGCATGCATGACTTCAACTTCCTCATGGTGCTGGGCAAAGGCAGCTTTGGCAAGGTAAACACAGCAGCCACTGAGACCAAATGTCATCTTTTCTGCACACAATCAGAACCTCTTATCCAACAGCTGTAAGTGATATCAAAGAGGTCATTCATGCTTAAAACAACAAAGATCATTCCTGGCTTTAAATGATTTCTTCTATTGATGGACTTGACCTTTAAGTGGCATTTCGTACAGCAGCTCCCGGGCAGAGCAAGGCAGAATTTCTTTTGAAAAAAAAACAAAAAAAAACTCTTGCTTACTAACACACTCATTGTCTCTCCTACTACTGCCAAATGATTCATTTAACCCTTAGCGTCTTCCTTAGTGTTGTCAGCAGTCGTGAGCTCAGGCTGGCTGGCTTCCTACATGCCACACAAGCAGACAATCCTCCTGGAGGTGTTCATTTCAAGGGAGTCTCTGCTCTCCATTTTCTCTTTAATTCCCCTGTAGATGAGGCATAATGAAGAGAATGGAGTTTTGAGTCCTTCTTCATCCTCTGAAATCCCCTTGTGCTGTTTCATAACTGTCAGAGGAGAGTCTACAGAAGACAGGAGAAATAGACTCGACTTACGTAAGATGTGAGAAAAAAAAAAACGACCCAAGAAGGAGAGACAGACCCCGGGGCTGCTGAGTGAGGGGAAGTGAGAAAGAGACAGACAGAGATAGAGAGAAAAAGGAAAGGATTACTGTGCTGCAGAAAGTGACTGAATGACCAAAAGGAAAAGGGATAACAAGAGCGGAAAAAGAGGAAAAAGTATATGTGACTGTGTTAGTAAGATTTGTAATATTCTGAAGGGTGATGAGTCCCATTTTTATGTGAGACCACGGGGAAGAGCTGGAGACACGATCACAGAGGACGGCAGGATTCCTCTCAGTGACTGGCAGTTCATCAATAGCACACACACACACGCTACACGCGCAGCCTTCTTCACAAGCACCTTTGTGTAGTCACATTGATTTCTGAAAGATGAAACTGTGTAATTTTCTGTATATTCAACCACTATTTGAAAGTAAAATGAGATCCTTTATCCTGCTAGCCAGCGACCATTACATCACAGCACTGCAGGTTGGCCAGATAATTTTAAACAGTGTTGTTGTCAGCACTTTCCAGTGCTCTTGACCATATCTTTCCCATGAACCACAGTAAAACCTGGGTCACGCAGCTCTCATTGTAGAAAATTACTGCATCATTAGAGCAACCCGCTTGCAGCCAGTTTCACAGGAGTGTGAAAATAGCCACTGAATGTGTTTTTAATGTCTGATAAAAACACGAGAGCTGCTTCGCTTTTTCATTTATGATATTAACATGTCTTGAAATCTTCAGGCGTACAGCGGCTTTAATTAAACATTGCTTCAGTTATTTCAATATGTCTGGATAAATGTGCACAGTAACTTTCTGAACTTTCTTCATCATCTGTCCATCTATGTTATAACTTTTTTCTCTTGCACTACTCTACTTTCTTACTGCTATTTGGATTTTTTGATAATGGACACCAGATACAAGTCCTAGCTTGGCATAAAATCATCAAAATATTGCAAATTTGCCCCAAAAGCACATAATTTTATTAAAACAGCAAGAACTAGTTTCCACCCAACTAGAGCACCTTGTAACTCATAACACAATGACCTAAAAAATGTTCAGTACTGGCAGCGTTACAGTACATGGATAATTCTATTTAAAGTTAGAAATGAAGCTTGAGTGAGAGAGCAATGAAAAACTAAATTATCCCTGCTTTGATGCACAGGCTACTGTTCTGTCATCTGCATGAGGAATTTAAAAAAAGTGAATTTTGGAATTGAAAAAGCTTTTTAAGCTGTTGTACTCATCATTCTCTTCTTATCTTCATGCCAGACAGCTGGTGTAGTGTTGACTGTAAATACGCACTGTGTGTATTTATGGACTCCTTTAAAATTCTTGTTTTGCTGTTACAGTGACTTTCCCTCCTCTCTGTCTCTGTACAGGTGCTGCTGGCAGAGGAGCGAGGCAGCGAGCGTCTGTTCGCAGTGAAAGTGTTGAAGAAAGACGTTCTCTTCCAGGACGAGGACACAGAGAGCGCCCTGGTGGAGAGGAGGGTTCTAGCGCTTTCCTCTCGCCCTCACTTCCTCACATCACTCTACTGCGCCTTCCAGACTGAGGTGTGTGTGTATGTGTAGGTCTGTGTGTGTAGAAGGTCTACTGTGTCCTAAATGAACCGCATAACTTTCATTAAATTGTCCATAAACCTGCCTGACATTTTAGCTGCGCAGCCCTCCGAGGAGTTTTTTCACTCCAGGTTGGCTGAGAATTTTGATTAATAAATCAAATAATTAGCTTGCTTTCTTTAACAAGGTCTTTGGTCCTGGAGGACAGGTTTTAACAGATTGCTTTTTAATTTGGACAAGAAGTGATTATGTATGGAGAGTGTGTGTATATATATGTGTGTGTGTGTGTGTGTCTCCATGTGTTTCTGCAGGACCGTCTTTATTATGTGATGGAATATGTCAACGGAGGAGACCTGATGTTTCACATTCAGATAGTTGGCAAGTTCAAAGAGCCTCATGCAGCGTATGTAGTCAAAAAGCTCCTTTCTTCTACTTTTAATCACAGTCCTCATCTACATCTTCTTATTTCCTGCCTTTCTTTTATTCCCTGTTCCTTTACATATACACCCATCTCTTAGCTTTGTTCATTATACCTGGTGACTCATAAAAAGTCATCAGCTCAAGTACCAGCTCTCTTCTCTTTCCCGCGACTTTCTCCTCCCACTAATCTCATCCTCTCATATACATTTTCCCTCCTCCTGGCTGCTCATCTAATCAATAATCTTTGATCAATCATCTAAAACTAATTCTTACCATGTTGCTCATTTCTAGCTCTTCATCTTTCTGCCTTTCATCTATATGGTTACTCTCCCTTTCATCACCCTCTTGAGCTCCATTCCCTCACTCCACGCTGAAAACCTTGGCCAATTTTCTGAAAGATAAAGCTACCAGTAGTGAGTCTCTCACCCCTCCTCCATCTCTCTCCCTCCAGGTTTTATGCAGCAGAGATAGCAGTCGGCCTCTTCTTCCTCCACAGCAAAGGCATCATCTACAGGTAGAGAATTGGGCTGCTCATCTAACATGGCCTGGTTCGGCACTGTCATTGCTCTGCAGTGCAGCACACAGACGTGACACAGATTTATCATGTCTTTTGTAGATAATGACTGTTATAAAGATGTTATCTATCAAAATGATTCATGCCACTGTGATCAATCTCCTCCTTTCTCAGGGATCTAAAGCTGGATAATGTGCTGCTTGACAGCGAGGGCCACATAAAGATAGCTGACTTCGGGATGTGCAGGGAGGGCATGTTTGAGGACGACACCACGCGCACATTCTGCGGCACCCCTGACTACATCGCCCCTGAGGTACGCTGACCCCTGCTCTCATTTCATGGTCCAGACTAACTCCTGAGCTTCCCTCATTTGTTACTTAGATCCCTAATTTCCCCACGTCTCACCCCTGTCTCCCCCTCTTCACTTGTTTGACCTGTTTTGCAGCGCTGTGAGACGGCGAGTTGCTTCGTTGCAGCTCCTCTCATCCCCTCCGTCCTCTCTGACCTTGTCAGCATTTTTGAATAATTAACTTCACATGATTCAATTAGCAGTGGTGTGTGTTGTGCTACGAGAATGTTGCATAGAAATCACAGTTGTCCTTCAGAGACCTTGTATTACCAGTTTTGTCTTACTGCAGTTGACAACTTAAGGTGATTAACTCCCACGAAAGCAACACAAGCCACTAAAAACTAACTGAAGAATCTCAAAAGGATTTCATTGATGATGATAACATTCCAGCCGGAAAACAGCGGAGGTGGTTTAGCTTGGCACCCTTTTGAAATGCTAAATATCAAAACTCTGTGCTGTATAATGTTAACCTTACAAATTGTTTTGGATATGTATGTATGTGTTTCTGTCTCAAGTCATCATAAACAAAATATATTCAGAGAAAGAGTGAAGGAGATATCCAGCTTGTTTGCTTTGTGGACTTGTTGGAGACAGAGAGAAAAGATGTGACTATTGTGCCCATCTTTGATATTGTAAACCTTGCTATGGAACCCCTGGGTATTGACTCTCTTATGTAAACACCCATTGATTCTCCTGCATCTGCCATTTTGGAAGAGATACAATATATTTCCCCAGGGGCTGGGAATTGTTCCCTTGTGCCCTCCCCCCTCCCCTGAACACACGCACACACACACACACACACACACACACACACACACACACACACACACACACACACATACACACACACACACACACACAAACTGGGGAAATAAACAAACACACAAATCCAAAGTCATGTGCTGATTATTTCTGAGCTCATTCATATATTTACCCTCCCTAATGCCATACTTTCCCTTTTCCTCTCTCTGCTTTTCACTCCGGCTCTCTCTGATAGCTGCATATCATCCAAGCAGCCAACTGCTACAGCTGCGCTTTCCCTCACTCTCCCTGTCTTCTTTCTACTTCCTTATCTCTGCACACCCGTTCTTCCCCTTTATCTCCTCTCCTTTTCTCACCATCCTTTTCAGATTGTGGCATATCAGCCTTATGATAAAGCGGTAGACTGGTGGTCCTATGGAGTACTGCTGTATGAAATGCTGGCAGGACAGGTAATACTCAGCTTAATCCTAACAATAGACCCGTGTGCACACACACTTAAGCCTCCAGTACTTGTCCTTTGTAATCACTTCAAAAGACTTTCAAAAGAACTTTAATTTCAATGTATTTGCTTTCAATTTGCTCACAGGGCTTCATGGTTACTCTCTTTTTTTCTTCTTTTCTTTCTCTATCTTTTTCTTCCAGCCACCATTTGATGGTATTGACGAGGAGGAGCTGTTTCAGTCCATTATGGAGCAGTGTGTCTCATACCCGAAAAGTCTCTCTCGTGAAGCTGTTGCTATCTGCAAGGGAGTAAGTCGCCCTTCATCTTCTTCTTACTCATAACTTTTATGATAAATGTAAATGTAATGTTGTTTTCCCTCTATGGGAACTCTGAAAATCTGCTCCCTGCAAGGGAAACCATTGACTTTTAAGGTGAAAGGGATAGTTTGACATTTTAGAAAATGTGCTTATTTGCTTTCTTGCTGTGACTTAGATAAAAAGATTAATACGACTCTCATATCTGTCTGTTAACCATGATGCTAGAGCCAGCAGCCATTAGCGTAACTTAGAATAAACACTGGTATAGTGGGAAACATCTAGCCTGGCTCTGTCTGAAGGTAAAGCTCAATAAGTAACATATATATATATATATAATTTGTTTAATTACTACTTCTATTTCTTGGCCGGGTACAGTGACTTGCTGAGGTTTTGTTGCCAAGGAATACATAATAATAGTTATTGTTACACTTAGTTACAGAGCCATGCTAGCTGTTTACAGTCTTTATGCTAAGCTAAGCTAAACCCCTGCTGGCTGTAGCTTCGTACTTACAATACAGACATGAGAGTGGGATCAATCTTCTTATTGAATCATATGTTTCCAAAAAAGATCACGCTTTACAATGCACACACAATGTGTATAAACGCATAAGTAAATCCAAAAAATTTATATATAATAATATTTGAAAATACAGCAAAGCTTACCATGTACATTGTTGACTACTTAAACAAAATAAGAACATAAACTCTACCCATCATTTTGATAATTTTTTTCCACTTTTTTCCCTCCTATTCTTCACTCCTCCCCAAGCTCCTGACGAAGAACCCGGCCAAGCGTCTTGGTGGAGGAGAGGAAGGAGAGAGAGAGATCAGGGAACATCCATTCTTCCGCTGGATTGACTGGGACCGTCTGGAGAGATTGGAGATCCAGGCGCCCTTCAAACCCAGAACTGTCAGTTGAACAGATGGAAAACAGACTCTATAGACTTGTTTACTTTCTGTCTATCGTTCTTTCTTTCTTTCTTTCTTTCTTTCTTTCTTTCTTATCACTCTCCTCTCTAGTCCGCCTCTCTTCCTTTCTCTCTGACTCTGTCTCTCTGAAGACACTTTTAGGGAATTAAAGCTGTCACTTTCCTCCATCTGTCTCTTCTCTCTAAAACTCCCACGCCTTCCCCCATTTCTTTGCATGCTTCCTCTCTCAGCCGTCCTCACTGTGTTGGCCATTTCAGCCTTCTCTGCTTTTCTCTGTTCAAATGGCCCCATCTCTCCCTCTTCCCCCCCCATTCCCCTCTCTTGTCTCTTTTTCATCACCTCCGCTGGCTCCTAGAGATGGGCTTTGAGCGTTCAGGAACAGACAGTCTGATTATAATAGACGGGACCCTCCGACCTTGAGGTCCTGCCTACTCCTCCCATATGCAAATGTATGTCATCATTAGCCTGCCACACGCCAGTTTGCGGTCCGGTTGGCCAATGCTGAGGTGTGCCTTGAGTGAGCTGAGTATGCTCAGGGGTTAGAGGCCAGGCCCATTAGCCAAATGAGATTCATATCATCCAGAAGAACGGCTGTCGTACTCTGTTAAGGAGCAAGAAAGGAGACGTGAGCAGCTTTCTTCCAACAGTAGGTGTGGTAGAGAGCTCCTTAGAGAGAAAAGGAGGGTGTGGGTGAGAAAAAGAGAAGCGGAGGTGGTGTCTTTTTATAGTTTGACTTTTCTTATGTTGTGTCTTTTTTCAGGAGAAGGATGATGGTGTGTACACAATCAACCACATATGTTTGAATATGCATGTTCTCTTCTTCTTCATCAGGGTGGGAAAAAAGGTGAAAATTTCGACAAGTTCTTCACAGCAGCTCCGTCAGTGCTCACCCCGTCTGACCCGGATGTACTCGCAGCTATAAATCAGGAAGACTTCCAGGGCTTCTCCTTCCTAAACCCAGACTTTGCCCCGTCGCCTCTCACCGCTGTTTGAAAATGGCTCCCAAACCTGCTCCAACAACCCCTCCAAGTGTACCTAAGCTACCCTGTTACCCTCCGTAATAGTAGTTTTATAACAGAAGTTGAACTAGCAGTATTAAAGACACCTCTCATAACCAAATCCTAACGTTTACATGAAAATGCCAAGACACCTTTATATTCATGCACTCTCTTTGATGTATGTATTTTATCTTGATAGTCACAGAATATGTTGCAGCAATGCAAACAAAGCCAGTATTCTACTATAGATTTCCATCTTAGAGTTTTTTGTAAGGCATCCCTTAACTTGATATAAGAGTACTGTAGTATGAACCTGATAAATGAATCTCTTTGCATGCAATGTTTTTAGAATGAGTTCCTCTGACACACTAGTTTTCTATAGCATAGATTAGTCAAGAAAATATACCTGTATAACTCTACAACCAATTAATTTAAAACTTTTCCCATTACTTTGATTAGAATAATTTTGTGTTGTAAGAAGACGGTAGGCAAAACAAGGCACTTTTTAATCATTTTGCAGTTCATACACACAAATAAAAATGTTCTTAGCGGGTATATTCCAGTCGTATGACAGTCGAACATTGCGTTTATACACAGTACATTAATTCAGCACCAGGAGCACTATAATGTCTATTCTAAATATCTATCTTACTCTGTTTGTGTGTGTGTGAGTGTTTGACTGTGACGCAAACTGAGCGAGTAGCCTTTTTATTTCATTAGACTGGCAGCCTGTGGATTCCTCTGGCCTGGCCTGGCCTCTCATTTTAACGTCACACCGGTGACCTCAGATGACCCGCTGAGACGCTAAAACAATGCAGCGGGCACAGTTAATGTGACAGTTAATGTGGCTACAGCGCTGCCCCCCAGCTCATGCCCACTCTGCCTGATTCTATTATCACTGAGAGGAAGTCCTCACATTACTGCCACAGTTTGGACTGCATCATTTCTCTGTTATTGTTTTTTTATAATGTCTCTGTTTTTCTTTAGCAAGGTGTAGAATTAGGCCTGTCCACATTGCAATACACAGTGTCTGTGCTCCTTAATGACATCCTACAACTGCACTGCCTTAGAAAATATGCCTCTTAATAACGTTTTCTCCATCTGAAACAAGAAGCTTGTTCAGGTACTTTATTATTTCTGTGGTGTATGCCATAAAGCTTTTTGCTGTGTAATGACGTACTCACAGCATTGATTAGGCGTAATTAAAAGTGAGGCTCACTGGGACTGTTCAATACATGGAAAATATTAGCAACGCTGTCATTAAACACTATCTGAGCAGGGCAGGTGGCTGCAAACATACAGTTTAATAATCCCATTTCAGTGCTCTTATCTCACAAAACAGCTGGTCGTTTCACACAGAAATCTGTTGGATTTTCCATTAAAGCATCTTAATGATTTTTTTCTTTATAATAATTACAACCATTTTTCGTCCAGAGGAGCAAAATCAGACAGATTTGCTTTGTGTTTGTCACTGTAATAGTGGCCAACTGTAAAAGGTCAGAGCAGTGAATGTGATGACAGCTCAGTTTGAGTGGAGGTCAAATGCCTCACAACACACAATACTTCAATACGATAAATAATGCAATCAATAATAGATAATAAAATAGATGATTTATGAATTTATGTATCTGTTAGGTGAGTTAAAGTTCTGTTTTGTATGTGCTGGAGAAAGAACTTGGAAATAAACTGACTGAAAAAAACATGAAACAAGAAGTGTTTCATTCTGTTGATTTTGTGTGAAGCAGCTGAGAAACAAACACGCACAGGCTCACGGTTTGTCTTCTCCACACGCCTCTCTGTCACGCTCACTCCCTCTCCCTCACTTTCACACATACTCACGCTCAAAAGTGCAATCTCAAGCATGTGCGCACACACACACATACACACACATACACCCTTACACACACACACACACACACACACACACACACACACACACACACACACACACACACACACACACACACAGAAGATGCTGACCCCTCTATTTACTGTACGGTACTGTAGTTGTCGAACCAGCAAAACCACCTCTCAGGTTCTCACTTTCACTCCCTCCTCCTCTTCTGAAGCAGCCTTGCACTCTCTCCTCCTCCCCCCTCCTTCAGCCCTGCCCACCTCCCTCCCTCCAGCATCATGATGGGACTAATATCCCCATAGAGATCTCAGTTATAACAGGTTGACCTTCACATTAAAATCTCATCAACTTCCCATCTCCCTCTCTACCTCCCTCTCTATCTGCCCTTCATCTCTCATCTTCTCTGTTTTCTGTCAGTGCTGCACTGTAAATCCTTTACTGCATTGTTTTATGTCATTTTCTATAAATCACATTGTCAGGATTTACTGTTGTTGCTATTATCTCTCTGATATACCCCCCGCTGTTGTCTGTTGATACGAGTATCATGTCTTGTCTTGTCCTGGCCTCTGCGTCAATATTATGATCTGTTTTACACTCGGTTTATACTCTCTACTAATGGGTTCAGGCAGTGGAAGTGTGAGAGGGATGTGAAGTTTTTTCTTAATTATATAGCTTGCAACTGAAATAAATGGTTATTTTGAAAACATTGTATCGTTGTTTCGAAGGTAAAACGTTGCCTGATGTGTGTGTTTGTGTTGCTATAACTCCAAAAACTGTAACAATTCACGTCAAGAAATGTGACTTTTATGTTTCATATTGATTCCCGGCATGATAAAATGTTAATGTAGATATCTTTCATAGTGGCACGTGAGGATCTTTAAAAGTCTGTTGTGTGTTTCCAACAATACAATAGTGTCAAATAGATGGATTTCACACTTCAATATGGCATTTTAAAGAAAATAAACATGTAACGCCACATTTCTGAAAGGATAAATCCCACTGAGTTTTTATATTTTTATTTATTTTTTGACATGGTGTACACCTGATGTCGACTGCCTGGTTTTAAACTCCTCACCACAACCTTTACTCCAACCTTGACAGTATCTGCCTTTGTGTAACCGAACCTCCAGCGCTCTCTGCTCGTAGTTGTGTGTGCAGTCCATCATTCACTGTCACTGTGACATGATATCATCCCTCTTCTTCACTGCTGCATCCTCTTCCTCTATCTCTACCTCTTTCTCGCTCACTCTTCTCTTTCTATCATGCCTCAATCTCTCATTCTCACCCCCTCCTCCCTCTCTCTCTCTCTCTTGCTCATGCCCTGAGGTCAGAGTGTGCTGTAGACTATTGATATCGTTACTAAAAATATAGGATTCCTCCACCACCCATCTAAAAATAGACCAAGGGACATGGACCACAGGAGACAAAGGCGGAGGGGGCAAGAGGAAGACGAAGGATGAAGAGAGAAAAGGAAGAAAGAGAGAGAGAGAATACTAGCTGTGCCATTTTACTGGTACTCATCTGCACTCATAATGTGGGGTTAAACGAAAAAAAGAGTTGAATGAACTACAGCAACTTTATAATTGATACTTAATACTGTAAATCTGTGTCATTTGGATTTAAGTCTGCAACTTGCATTTCATCCGAGTCAAACTCATTGATCCATGTCTTTTTTTCTTGACTTTTTCAAAGTATATTTTGCTTCATTGGCATGATCACAATTAGGTGCAGTATAGCCAATGCATGGTACAAGCTTATAAGCTGTACAGTAGAAGTAAAATAATTCAAAAGATTTAAGAAAACAGGCAAGAAATGGTCTCAAGCACATTTTCTAGAAAGTAAGAGCAATTCTGTGTTTTGCTATGATTATAATAATGTGATTATAATAAGAAAGTACAAAAACAATTTAAGACTTATGAACAGGAGAGATATAAATTATTAAAATGTAATTATAAAACCAATTTGTTTGTACATAACTGCACTACTGTGTGTAAACTGAACAATACACACACACACACACACACACACACACACACACACACACACACATAGTACAACATACACTACACCACATTACACAACAATTACTGCATATTACACTGTAATGAAAGAAAAATAATTGAAAAAAGGATATGTGTGATAGGATGAGAAATAGTAGTTTAACATAACCCCCCTTCACTCTCCCCCCAATCTCTCTCTCTCTATCTCTCTCTCTCTCTCTCTCTCTCCCTCTCTCTCTCTCTCTCTCTCACTCACTCTCTCCCTCTCTCTCTCACTCACTCACTCACTCACTCACTCTCTCTCTCTCTCACTCACTCACTCACCCACTCTCTCTCCCTCTTCCTCTCTCCAACACTTCTCCCTCCTGCTCCCGCTATGTCTCTTTTGTAGCCAAAGTAGCTCGCTGAAGCAATCCACCGCAGTGCCTGGGACAGATTGAGTGAAAGAAGGAGTGAGGGATTTAGAGGATGGGTAAGGAGGCTTAAGGGAAAACACACAGAAGAGAGAGAGAGGGAGGGAGGGAGAGAGAGAGAGAGAAGGGGAGAGACAGAGAGAGAGAGAGAGGGAAACCAAAAATCCACCAAGCCTCCCCGCTGTGAGGTTTCTTGGCTACTGACGTGTGCGCACGACTCTCGTGGCAGGGTGAGTATTTTTCCTCATTTTAAATAACTACAGTTATGTGCTTGTTGGCATTAATTGTGACGATGACGCCTTTTCAACCTGACTGAGTCATTTAAAATGTGTGTGTGTGTGTGTGTGTGTGTGTGTGTGTGTGTGTGTGTGTGTGTGTGTGATGACAGCTGCGAAAAGAGCAGCATTCATAACGTGTCCTCCTCATGTCGTGTTTAGCGTAAAAAGACAGCCGCTCGTCTTCATGTGAGAGCGCTCAGAGGCATCACAGTTACCTGAGAGCCGAGTCGTTAAGCTGCTCTTCGTTTTTCCATTTCATCCCTATTTTTTTTCTCCCTGTCTTGAACGGCTCACATGTTCTCTGCTCTGTTTATCATCTCCAAACTCCGCGTGTGAGTGTGTGTGACAGTAGGGAGGGAGGGAGGAGGGGTGGGGGGGTCTAAACAATATCCTATGCGCACATCACTGCCTCAGTCAGTCCTGCACTATTATACATGCATAGATCCTGTTTTACATACATGTAGTTTCATGTTCAACTATCCGCTCGGCTCCGTGAAAATGGTGCGACTTTTACCGGAGTGTGGCTGCGCAGCTGAAATGCTTTGATAAATCATGAGCAAACCCACCCATTGAGTCACGATATCTACACTTAGTCGTTATGAAGTCATTTATTTTCTGCTGAGTGATTTCATTGTGCTCTCAGGCTGATTCTGAGACGCTACACAGTCAAGGTTGGTTAGTTTAGCACAGGTGTAGGCGCATCCCCGTCGTGCGCGTCCATGTTGGGTACTCCTTCCATTTTTTGGGCCAAGGTCTTTCCCTGTGTTAACCTATATCCGCTACATATACTCAGGCTGTTCCTGCCTTAAAGACTCTCCAAACATAGTTTCATCCTGCCTCTCTCCCTACTGCTTTCTTTCCTTGGATGTTTTCTCCAGCACATCTCCACATCCTCCCCTCTTATCCATCACTCCCTCTTTCTCTTGGTGTCTTTCTTTCCTGTGAGGCTTAGAGGTGATGTCAGTCTGTAGATTGTGACAGATTAGAGAGAATTAAACCCTTTGTCCCCCTTGTGGCTCCTATCTAACCAATTCAATTGGCTCATTACTTTCTGGGTGAGGGAGCTGAGGGGCCTGTCTGAGAGCGCTAAAATGGGATTGTTATCACAAATCTAACAGGCAAACCAAATTTTTTCGCTCAATCTCAATCCCAAGTCTACAATAGCTATGTCTCCAAAAGCTGCAACAGCTCTTTGGAGGATTTTTTTTTTGGCATGATGTGAGCACAATACATACCTCATTTGAGTCCAAATCCATTATAAACCAGCAGGTTATACAGTATTTCATCTGCTGGATAGCATTGTGTTCTCTGTTTGAAGAGCCGTATATGGGTGCTGTCCGTGGTGCTGAACATGTCTGGACGAGCCACTCAGGCACATCCACTCATTCCTGCTGTGTTGCAACTCAACTCAATTGATTCACACTCCTTCCTGACCACTTTGGCACATCTTCCAACTGCTGGAAGGTGTGATTGTTCATTCCCCACTCCCCTCTGCTCCCTGGTCATCTTTATACTCCCCCTCTCTCTGTGCCTTCAGTCATTTCACTGACTTGTTTTTTGATTTTTTACGGAGACTTCACAGAACCATCTCAATCTCACAGGCTCAAACTCTCGTCCACCAGTCCCAAGTGTCACCAGCAACAGCAATGGCTATTTTGTGAGTCTGCCGTACAAATCACAACCTCTGAGTAAAGAAGAAAAAAGAAGTAAAATTGAAGACGGAGACAAAAATGACTTGGGCCTTTCTCTCTCAGATGGGGGTATCAGTTTGTTTCCTGACATTGTAAATCTTGTAACTTTCATCTGTCCTGTTTTTCCCACTGGATTGCTAGCAGTTGGTCATACTACCTCCCTCATATCTATCTGTCCCATCAGTAACTCGCTCTGTGCTTCAACACGCCCAAACTTGTCATTTCTCAGAGGATTTCTCTGACGTGTACCACCAGCCGGCTCTGTTCTTACACATACGCCTCACTCACAAAAGAAGCTCCATTCTCCCCCGGTGCTGCATAGAAACTGAAGCAACTTCTATAGGGGCCACTTCTTGCACAATGGCCGACCAGATAAGATGAGGCCAAGATTAATCTTTAAGAGTTTATTCCCCTCTAGAATTATTTATTATAACTTCACTTTTCAAAGACTCAAAGGTTTGTCATACAAAGAAAGACTAGAGGAAAGAATGAAGTGGTTAATTCAGCATTCATTTTCTGTTGACAAAGACCTTTGAGGTGCCTGGTAAATGGCCATTGTTAAATTAAGTCAGCCTAAACATGATGTCTTTTACGATACATTTTATTCAAATAGCTCACTCCATAAGACAGCAACAAGGTACAGAAGTTCAGTGTCTGACTAAATGTAATGTATGTTAAAATGAGGCTTTGAATATTTGACCTGGTGATGATTTATAAACAATAATACAGGAAACTAGAATAAGAATCTGGTGAGCTGCTGCACTGTGAACGTTTTAATAATGACAGGCAGGCCACAAGTATGCAAATAACAGCTCAGCACAATGCTGATATGCAGAGGAAAAGCTGAAACACGTTTTTTCAAACCTTAATGCAGCTGTGTTACATCCGCAGAAGAACATGCCTGATTTCACTCCTGTCAGGTACTGTAAGAACAAGACAGTGAAACTTGAGTGGTTACACAATCACCAAAACGAGATGAGTGAGCAGTGAAAAACACCCCGTGCTACGACAGATATCAATTATTTTGTGACATTAAGGGCCAGACTTTGGTGTAAAAGCTCTGTTCTGCCTTTTGTCCAGAGTTCAGGCTGTAAACAGCACAGTATGCATGATGGTGAAAGAAATGTTTTCTTGCTACTCATTGGGCCACTATTGAATAGGTTGAATGTCAGTGTGTATTTACACCTTGTTGCAGAGCAGGCAGATTCCTTCATGGCTATAATTGGGCTCCTACAGCCAGTTATTACAGTGTCACATTTAATTTAAAGTGACTTTAGTGCACTTAAATGGGCTGCACAGTCTGTGAGATACAGTGTGATATTCACAGCAGGCATGCACAGACAAAATATTTGCTGCCACTGAGAGATGCTATGATCATGGGCCAAGCTCCTGCTGAAATTATTAAAGTGGGTCCTGTTGTTCTAGCTAGTAATGCCTGATTATATGTGCACTAGATGTATAAACCTGGATAAAAAACCTAATTAAAACATATTGTAAAAACCTAGTACATGTGACATGTATGATAAAACAAGTAAATTACCACAAAAGAGAAACACAACATCTGAAATTAATCAAAGCAAAAGTGAAGCTAACCTGTTACAAAGGAAGATATGAGGTGAAATGACAGGTCAGTTGCATTACAGTAACGATCCTCCCAGTGTAACACTTAATACATGGAATAATTCAACTAAATGAGGGTGATTACAGTAAACATCACCCTTGCTCTGGGTTTTCTATATGCATTTGTTGTCCATTAGTCGTAAATCTGATGATACTGAACAGTGGTTAAGCAGAGGCCTGAACAATCACGCACACACACACACACACACACACACACACAGAGAGAGAGAGAGATACAAACACACAGACACACAAACAGAAACTCACAAATGCATACAGACAGCATGCTCAAAGGATTTGCAGCAAAGTCTTTCCCAGTCAACCAGAACTAAGTCACAGAAAGACCATGCGTGAGTCACACAGGACCCCTCCTCCCTTCCCTGATCTGTGTGTGTGTGTGTGTGTGTGTGTGTGTGTGTGTGTGTGTTTCTGTTATCTATCTTTTTTTTTCAGTCCTTGCTTAACTTCAGCGGTTTACCGTGAAGTCATCATCTGTTGCTTTGACTCCTCTCTGACCTTTAACAGGATTGGTTGCCACCGGATGTGTCACTAACTCATCTTTAGCAATAATAAGGCGAGACAGGAAGATGGCCAGTAGCTGTTCACATGTGTGCACATCACATGTCTGTCTCAGTGTTTCCCTCGTTCCTAATGACCTCCCTCCATGACCCCTTCCAAATTTACCTACAGTACATTTTTGTCTCTACACTTTTGACGTGTAATTCCTCTTCTCTTCTAACACCCTTCCCTCCCTTCGTTCTGCCCTACAGATGAGTTCGTGCAGCAGCCGTGCGTTGACCATCCTGTCCACAGTGTTTGGAGCCTGCGGGCTGCTGCTGGTGGGGGTGGCCGTGTCCACGGACTACTGGCTGATCATGGTGGAGGGCATCATCCTACAGCAGAACCAGAGCATGGAGGTGAAGATGGCGCTGCATTCAGGCCTCTGGAGAGTTTGCTTCGTGGCTGGTAGGAAGATACCACAACATACTTGAATATTCACATATGAAAAATTAAAAGATGACTGTATAAGACGGATACATGTGCCCACACTGACACACACACACACACACACACACACACACACACACACACACACAAACAGTGCTGTTACGTGTGTGTGCATATGTCCACATCATCACAGCGACTCACACATAGAAACAGATAGAATAAACAAGCCGAGCGAGAGAGCAGCAAGGGCAGAAAAGACAGAAAGCGAGTGTCTGGCCTCTAGAATCATAGCTGTCACAAAACATGATCGTTACCTGTGAGCAGGACTGCAGAGGACCCACATCCTTTTTTAGGGGTTTTGTTTTGTTTCTTCATGCATCACTGACGTTGATCCTAAAAGCAAACCCCAACATTTTCCTTTTTTTCCTGTGTGTCTGTGCGTGTGTTTTCCTCTCAGGATCAGAAAACGGGAGATGTGTTGCGTCAGAGTACTTCACTGAACCCGATATAGAGATCACCACTGAAAACACTGCAAACATCCTCAGTGAGTAAAACATGTAACAGCACATTATCTACTGTATGAGAGTCTGCAGGTATGTCCCCCTGCTGATTGATTGTGGGTACTGAAATCTGAACATAATATTAGAGCTAGTCGATCAACACAAAATTAATCTGCAACTACTTTTATTCATTGATTAATCATTTCGAGTAATTTCTTAAGCTAAAATACCCAAATTATCTTGTTGCAGCTTCTCAAATGTGTGGATTTGATGTTTTGATTTACCTGGTTTGGAGATTGGAATATAGAATTATAATATATGATGTGCTGTTTCATCCATAATGTTTGCATTTTGGAGAAATTTTGCCACCTTAAATGTATTCAGTATGTCAAAATTCATTCTACTGTAAAGTTAACATACCGTACAAGATTCTGGGTTAGGTTTTTCACATTTATGCAGTACTAAATATTCAATGCTGTGCTTTCAGTAGCATAGCATACTGATATAACTGAAACGCTGAAACTGTGATGTTTCTCTGTAATCTTGCAGGTTTACAACCATGTTTCCATGTTTTGTTGTAGCCTTTAACATCATAACTCTGTTTCCCATAGTTAAAATGCTAATTAAAAGGTAAATCTTGTTGAAATGTATCCATACCTTGTAAGAATACTGTTTCCAATCTCCCTATTATAGTGGCAGAAGTCACAACCAGGCATCTCCAAATCACTGAACCCACTTTATATTATACATTTTACTTTTTAAGGAGAGAAAGACATTATCATTCACCTTTCCCAGCAGTTTAAGGACACATCCCATCCGCTTTATTTAACACTGTGACATCTCCTCCCTACAGAGATGGTGCGGACAGCCACGCCCTTCCCAATGGTGTCGCTGCTCTTTGTCTTCACGGCCTTCGTCATCAGTAACATCGGACACATCCGGCCTCAGCGCACCATCCTGGCCTTTGTGTCCGGCATCTTCTTTATCCTCTCAGGTGGGACCCATTACTCATGTCCCGCGGTCACTCTGTGATTGATTACAGCAGCCTGGTGTGTCTTCTGTCACACATGGAGACACTCCATCACGTCTCTATTTTTAGTGTATGATGCAGGTGTGTACGATGTCATTAGAAAAGGTGACTAGATTAAAGAGAGTTTTGTGCTTTCCTCTTTTGACTTTGCATTACTTTGGAGTTAAGCAGGCTTTATCTGATATACAAAGGCAACAATATGAACATGGTGTTGTAAAAAATACACGCACTATTCCCACGGTATCATGAGCAGATTTTTCAGCTTCAGCTTGATTTTCTGCATTAATGTAGTTAACCTTCTTGAACAGCAGGTGGCTGTAATGCTCCCATTTCTTGCCCTCTTTGTGTGTAAAAGACTGTCAGGAGCCAAATTGGATCTCATGTTCTCTGTAGGCTGTTTCACTTGACATGTTTGAGAATGAAGCAGCTCTGCAGAGCTCACAGGAGCATCAAACAGAGACTCCCGCGACAGCTCCGACTGCCGTAGCAGGGACTTTCTGATAAAGGGTGTAGCAGAATAATAGGTGTTATATAATGGGGGTTATGTAATGTTTATAGCCTGTGCTGGAAGTGTCGCAGTGTTTTACTTTATGAGGTATTTTGATAATAGAGTGATAACAAGGGGCAAGTGTATCAAATTGCTTTTCAGCGGTTAGATACTCTGCTGCACGAAGCCTCTCTCTCTCTCTCTCTCTCTCTCTCTCTCTCTCTCTCTCTCTCTCTCTCTCTAAACACTGCCTTTCTCTTGCCTCCCATCCCGTCCTCCTCCCCCCCACCCGTTCACTCAGCCTCACGGTTTTCTTTGCTTTTTCTGTTTCTCCTCCCTCTCAGTCGCTCCCCTTCCTCTCACTTTCCTACTCATGCCTTCATTCAGAGTATATTCTTTCACTGTTCTGAGTTACTATGGATGTGGTGGTGTTTGTGGACTGATATGAGTGCTGGTATCACTGACACGGTGGTCTGGTTAATATTGTAGTGTGAGTCGGTTATGTTCTGGTTAATATTACAGAATTCAGAGCAGCAGCAAAAGACACAGCATGGAGCCACAGCTGTTCGAGCATGGTTATAGGTTTTATGTTGGTCTCCCACACCATCTCTCTCTCTCTGTGACTTTTTGTTTCTCTCTCAAACACACCACAGACCTCTTACAAATGCATGTGTACTCACACACATAATATACCTCCATTTCTTCCTCCTTTGGTCTCATACACTTGCACACACTTTCTTTTCCAGCTGCTGTGTTACTTATTTAGATGAAGATGTAACTCTTCTGCATGATTGACAGCAGCATGGTTTCTGCATTTTCATGCTTTTCAATTTTAAATCGACAACACAACCTCTTAGGCTAGCCATTTATGTAAAGGACATAACCGCTCGACAGCCCTGTGGTACATTTGAATGTTGCAGTGAAAGCTAAAAATACTCATATTTGCTGCATACAGCATTCAGCTTTCTCTGAATATTGATTGTTCGATGTTGGCCATATGTTATGTCTCATGCATTTAACATATCTAAGGCAGGGTGGAGAGCATGTGCGTGTTCTTAGAGGAAGGGGGGTTTTAATGTTGTATGTGTTGCTTCTCGGTGAAAAGGGTAATTCTTTCAGTTTTGAAAGCCACTTCTGGTTTTCCATATGGTGATTATACTTTAACAGGTTTACTGTGTATGCTGCATGTAGTTTCTGTATAGACCCACTTTAACATTTTTACTATGTGTATGTCTATTGTGATTTTCAGGAAGAACCATATTATAAATGTGCAAGCTCAGTCAGTAGTTCAACTATATCATTACAACATGACCATTAAATTAAAGGTACTTTGCTCTTTGGGTACGTGAAGGAAGAAAATTGTTTAGTTTAGGATCTGACAAAATGTAAAAATAAATTTAGTTTAGTTTAGTTTAGTTTTCACTTGCAACATCCAGCACTATAAAATTTGCTTTTTTTCATCTATGTTCACTCATATGCACTTAAAGCACTTCAGTTATGGTTAGGTAAAAGATCGTAGTCTTGGTTAAATATTCATCTGTGACTTGAAGCATGACAGTTAACTTTATTAACAATTAACCATAACAAAGATCTTTCCCTAACTTTAACCAAAGTGCTTACGTTGCCGAACCACACACTAAAATCCCTCAAAACATACAGTATTTTGGCAAAACAAATTAGCCGTATGTAAATGTAATGTTGCATAAGACAGGGTAAGGACACAAAAAGAAAACGCAGCCAAACATTAAAGTACAATCAGAGGGTTATCTCTATAAATGCTTCGCACTGGGATGCCCTAGTAGCTCACTTGGTAGAGCTGGTGCCCCGTTCCAAGTCCAAGTCCTTGCTGCAGCGGCCATTCGACTTCATCTTGGGGCCCTTTGCTGCATGTCATCCTCTCTCTTTCCCCCTTTCTTGTCTATCTTGAGCTGTTGTATCTAATAAAGGCAAAAAGGCCTCAAGTGTGCCAAATTTTCAAAAAATTATTTTTGCAAAATAGCTTTTTTTTCTATAATAGCACATCACCCCGTTTAGCCTTTGTGGAACTCTTTTTACCATGAATAAGTTATACATTGTTTTGTTTCTATGAAGGTTTTTCCTTTCCAGAGGTCATTAATCTTTATCTTTTATCTGTCATTATGATACATACACACTCTCTCAAGTCTCCCTCTCATCTCTTTATTAATGTTAGCATTTCGGAGGCTAATTGCTTGGTGTGGTCACTCCACATCCCATCATTCTCTGTGTCTGTTAAACATTCCCCACACTGGTGCAGCTGTCTGGATTGCTATATAATGACCTCCTTGCTCTCTCTCTTGTATCGAATTTCTTTCTCTCTCTGGCTCACTGTCATTGTTAATGTGCTGTGTGCAGGCCTCAGTCTGGTGGTGGGCCTGGTGCTCTACATCTCCAGTATTAATGATGAGGTGATGAACCGACCCAGGGAGCCCGAGCAGTTCTTCAACTACCACTATGGCTGGTCCTTCGCTTTCGCTGCCTCTTCCTTCTTACTCAAAGAGGTCAGTCCGGGCTCAGTGTGTGTGATAAAAAATATGGGAGATAGAGGTAGAGAATGAGTGCATGTGTCTAGGTTTGCAAATGTGCTACAAGCAGAGAATATATTTGCATTTGTATGGTATGAGTGTTTTTTTCCCTGTAGTATTGCATGCAGGTAAAATGATTAGTATTCTGTATGTGAGGTATCAATGGTTATGACGCAGAACTGCAGGGGTTGTGTGTGTGTGTGTGTGTGTGTGTTCATGTGTGCATCCAGGCGTGGTGCAATTTCATGTGAATCCTCTGCTCATCTTCCCACCTCCCCTCCCCCCTGCTTCTTCTGCCTCTTCTTCCTGTCATCAGCAGCACTGCTCTTAATGTGCTGCAGTGGACAGTTCAGTTTTAACTAACCTCCTCCCCTCTTCTATCCTCTCCTTTCTCTCCATCTTTTCTCTCTTTCACTGTGGTCTCCTTTGTCCTTTCTTTCTCTTTCAATCTGTTTTATATGAGCTTAAAAGAACTTAAAAGACACCCTCATCTTTGTAAATTCTTAGCAATCATAAGCACCCACTTATCCCTCTCCACCTTGTACACTTCTTGCCTATCACTCACTTTTAATCTAATTTCCCCAGCTATTACTTGTTACTATTTCTTTGAAAATGTAATTGCAAGTGAACTCAATTTATTTACGTAACTAAATCTCTCTCTCCCTGTCGCATCTCATCTCCCCCTCATCTCTTCCTGCTTCCTCTTAACACTCACTGTTCTCAGGGGGCCGGGGTGATGTCAGTCTATCTGTTTATGAAGCGTTACGCTGAGGAAGAGATGTACCGCCCCCACCCCGCACTCTACCGCCCCCGCCTGTCCGAGAGCAGCGACTACAGTGGCCAGTTCCTACACCCAGAATCCTCCTGGCCCCCGCCAAAGCGAGGCCGCAGCACCTCTGAAGCCTCCAGCGACATCTCAATCCAGCTCAACCAGGCACCCCCAGCGCCACCCAAAAGCAAGCTCCAAACAGGTGGCCAGGGCAGCCCGCCTTCTGGGTCTTCTTCCGCAGGGAGCTACCAAATGCCCCCGCAGCCTGCTGGATACTCCTCCATGCACACCCTAACCAGGTCGCACTCCTCACATCCCCAGGGCCAGGCTCTTCCCATGGCCATGCCTCCATCACCTGTACCTCCCCCTCACTATCACACACACATGCACATGAGCGCCTCCCCCTGTTAAGAAGAGGGAGCATTGGGGAGGACAGGAGAGACACTGTGACTCCTCATAATCATGTATACAGTACATTTAGATGATGGATGAAAGGAAATGCTGAGCTTGGAGCACAGATGATGTGAGATGAAGTGGGAGGGAGAAGTGATCAAACATAAAAAATGTAGCGTTTGGAACAATGTGAACCAAGGACAAAGGAGGCTTTGGAGATAGATTTAAAAGGATTGTGGGGATTTTACAGAAACTGTGATGGATGGAGAAAAATAAAAACAGAAGAGTGAAAAAGAGGAATTCAGTTTGCCACAATGGAAAAAGGGAAAAAAGTGTTTCCTAGAAAGACTTTAGAGGTTAGGTTGAGTGACAGAGGAGATATAGGGGAGGGAGAGTGAAGCAGGGAGAGCGAGGTGCTGCGGTATAATACGAAGATACTGCAGTGCTGCGGGAAATTTGTATGCACTTGGAAATGTACAATGCAAAACACTGATCACAAAGACTGAGGATGCACATAGTTTTATACATTCATAATTCATGACGATACATGGACTATGTTTCCTTTTTACCTAACGGGTAAAGGTGGTAAAATATATTCTCGTCTTCTCTGAATTTCTTACATCATCAATCCAGTTTCATAACTCACAGTGTCAAAGTAGTGTTATTAATATTATGAATTAAAAATTATTAGTTAACAATAGAGTAATCTGAATTGAGAAAACTGTATGTGAATGTTGTTGACCTTTGTAAAAATGATACAGACAGAAGTGGATGATGTTCTGAAATATCATAAGGAGAAATCAACTTTATGTTTTACATATTTGTTTAAGATACAAATTTCTAACTTAATTGTACATAAAACTGCACATGAGGACTTCTATATAGCTGTTGTAAATTATGAATTAGGCTTTGGCACAAGTCACATCAAGAAAATGTCTGACTCATTCTGCTTTGGATGAAGACTCTGCAACAGGCGTAGTACAACCAACAACACACCCTCTGGATGCAGCGCACACGCCGGGTTGAAGGAGGAACCACTGATACAGGGGTCTGATGCCCTCTACTGGTCACTGTTCTGCACTGACCCTGGACCAGCCCCTGCTGGGCTCAGTTCACTATGGGTTTTTTTTCATGCACTCTTCCTTCCTCACTGACCTGCACTGTGTGTCAGTTGATGGTGCAGCACAGATGAGTTGAAACTGTTGTCCATCCAGAGGTGGAGTTATGGTGAATGTCAGGAGCAACGAGAGGTGCCGTTTTGAACTGTAAATGGATCAAGATATATGCGTATATGCTTTAAAGACTGGTTAGAGGATTTTTTTTTAAAGCTTCAGTGCATTTATATATCTGGAAAAATCACATGATGAAAGTATTAATTACATTTGCACTTAACTGGTCAAAGGACAATACCACTGTTTGTGAAATGCAGGTCCTCTGTGGAGACCACAGCTTTTTTCCAATATTTTCCATGGCTGTTTGTGACAGAGCATCAAAGGTTTCTAGAGCATCTGAAAAAATATGTTTGGATGAAAATGTGATACTGAGGTCTCTCATGTGCAACAAAAGATTATATTAATTATCGGTTAATCTGCTGATTATTTTCTCAATATAATGTTTTTGTCAATGAAAATCGTGAAAAAGGCCCACAGCTCAAGGTGATGTATTCAAATCACTTGTTTTATTCAGCCAACTGTCCAAAGCCCAAAGATATTCAGTCTTCTCCCATATAGGCTATTAAATCTTCATATTTGCAAAGCTGGAACCAGAAAGTGTTTACACATTTTACTTTGAGAATGACTAAAATGGTGAATCTATTATCCAAATAGTGTTTTGTTAAAGGACTAATTTATTAATATACTAGTTGTTTTCAATGTGTTCACTTTTTCTGTACAGTGCAGGAAAAGTTATGTTTGGCACTGTGTAATATTTCAAAGATGAAAAGTTTTTCCTCCTGATAAAATGTTGCATGTTAGAGAAAGTATCAAGACTTTTGGACAATCCCACATTGGTCAGAGTAGCACTTCCTTCAACACCACAATGTAGCAGGCTGCATCGGACATTGGAGGATGTTTTAGCCACTTTTCTGTACACTTTAATTTAATTGGTTTTAGTTTTTTTGTAGAAACTAACATATTATTTCAGATACCATAAAACCTGAATGCTCCTAAATACAGTGCAATATCTCAAAGATGCAGATTAGTAATCCTGAGTAAGAATTATTCTCCAACAAGCAGGACCTGTACATCAAAAACAGTCGTATTTTAATTTAGAATAGTTTATTTTGTTTGTTTTTAAGGCACATCATGCACAGGGGATATGTCGATATGATATATCTCTCTAATGAGAATTAAACCACCGTGTCATTGTGTAATGGCTGGTTTTCATTATCACTGTGATGCTGGAGAGAGGGAAACACACTGATGTCCTAGATGTGTGGGATGATAACGACTTACAGGGGAGAATATAAAGTGAGATATCATCGTATTTTCGCCTTCATGCAGGGTTTTGTTGAGCAATGCTGTGGATTTTCAGCACAGCCCTGCTTTTTGTTTATGCAGCTGCACAAATTCATGTTGAGGTGAAGCCCAGTGTAACCGCAGCCCTCTGTTGTTGGTTCTGCTGTTACAGTTAAGGGGTTAAGTGCCTTGAGCAAAGGGCACCTCAGCAGTAGTTGTTGAAGAAGATCAAAGTATTTCCTTTTCTAGATTTTCCCAGCCAACGGGCATCTAAACCTCCTGGTTAAAGGCCACCCCTCTAACCTATAGTCATGACCCCATCATGACCCTTCTGTTTCTTCCTCTACAGAATTTGTAGAACTGTTTGATAATCATTCACTGCCTCACAACTGCGGCAGTTCTTTCCTTTTTCATCTCTGTACCTCTTTGTTTTTCCCTCTCTAACCCCAGCTCTTTTCTTTGCCTCTACATGATTACATAAAAGGGTGTAGCTGTGCTTGCTTCTGCATAAAGCCTAGACTTCTTGCACATGACCATCTTTGTAAAGACAAAATGGTAAAACAAATGCTTTTCAATGCTTCAATGGAACTGATGCTGTATAATCTTGAGTTATATAATTCAATAGCAATTGTGATAAGATCACTGTTCTTGAAAGTGTTGACATATGTCACTCACTTTCCTCTAAACATGAATAAAACTTTCAACATGGGTTCATTTCACCCTGTTTGCCCTCTCTAGTTATCTATATAGCTTTTGCTGTTGAATGTTTCAATATCTTTTCTATTTAGTTAGTAAGTTTAGCTATAAGGGTTTGCATAATAAGGACAGATTTTTGATGTTAACTGTAGTGATACGGGCCCAGCGTTAACTTATATTAATATAATACATAATAATATATAAAGATTTCTTTGCTGGTCCCTGTGATGGAGGGAACCATTATAAGTGAATGCACACTGCACTGCGGTGAACCACTGGGTGTTAACCAGGCTCCCTCCTCAGTCACGGCAAGCCACCACAGCCTGAGGGCAACAATTGATCAGAGTGTTGTATATGTGTATGCGTTTGTGCATGACTGCGTTTGCTAGCGTATGTGTTTGCATTGTTTATCATAACCAGCCTGAGACTCAAAAATACCATTAGAATATTAAATTGCAATGTAAAGTAACTTCACTTAAAAGTACAACAGTGAACAGTAAAACATGGTTGTATCTAAAATATGGTCTGTGTTACATAAATAACTATTATACAGTTAAGTTGGTCAAGGTCAAGAGAGTAGAGTGATGGAATGAGCCATGTAGGTGAACTAATAATACATTTGGAGCAACAAGAGGAAAATTACAGTAAAAAGAGACAAAATGCAACCTGACATTAAACTTTTGCACAACATTAAACTATGATTCCTCTGAAATTTAATCCAGAACTGAGTGGTTTTTGATGCCAAAGATAGTAAATAACAAGGTGTCAGCGTGCGTGTGACACAGAGAGTTAGAGTGAGAGGTGGTACATTAGGAAGTCAAACATCAAACATCCACAGGTCAATAAAACTAAAAAAGAGTGAGCACTCAGCTGTCTGACTTCCAGGACTGTGTGTGTGTGTGTGTGTGTGTGTGTGTGTGTGTGTGTGTGTGTGTGTGTGTGTGTGTGTGTGTGTGTGCATCTCTCCTGATGAATGAAGCCTGACTGCTGGTGTAAACAATTGAGATTAAATTGTGACTTGTGGTTGTTGTGTGGCCACTTTTCTGTAATAACGTGTATTTCACTGTGTGGGTTTTGTGTGTGGGTGTGTGTGTGTGTGTGTGTGTGTGTGTGTGTGTGTGTGTGTGTGTGTGTGTGTGTGTGTGTGGGTGTGTGTGTGTGTGTGCGTGCAGGCCTGTGTGTGTATTTGCTTCTGTCTGTTTCTTTTGTTTGTCTGTGTGTGTGTGTGTGTGTGTGTGTGTGTGTGTGTGTGTGGCAGTGTGGGTTGAGTGGATCTCTCTTTTCACCATCACCATTACTGCATGAAAGACCTGTCACTCTGTATTAGCTCTCTCCAGCTCTCCCTCACCCCTTTCTGTGTGTTTGTGTGTATGTGTGTGTGTGTGTGAGAGAGAGAGAGAGAGAGAGAGAGAGAGAGAGAGAGAGAGAGAGAGAGAGAGAGAGAGGGTGAACTGGGCAGCATAGCCATTTTAAAGCTATTGAAGGTCATTGTCCGCTCAGTTTTGTACATCCTAACCGCTGCATGCGACCTGCAGCTCAGGCATTGGCTCCATTTTTATAGATCTGTGGATGACATAATTTAGTCTATATTACAAACAGCAGAGATCCCTCATCACTGAAGTCATTGGACTAAATAATTATGGCAATGATAGTCAATTATCACAATTATTATACAACCCCTGCTGAGTTTCTGTCTATATAGATACATAAATATTGACCTGTAGATATTTGACTCCATGATTTAACACACACACACACACACACACACACACACACACACACACACACACACTCTCTCTCTCTCTCTCTCTCTCTCTCTCTCTCTCTCTCTGCAGGGCTGCGCTCGTGCTGCATTTCCCAGAACTACCAGCGCGGCCCTCATCATCATCATCATCATCACCACAGAGGAAAAGTGTCCCACTGGCGCTCCATCGAGTCGCTCTCCAGCAAAATAAAAAAATATATATATCGACATCAATAACACACACACACACACACACACACACACATATATATAACCTGGTCATGGCTAATAGGCTACTTACAAACGCACAGCCATGCGCGCGCGGCACACGCTCCAATAAGCACATCCAGACCAATTCCCTCAATATGGGAGAGAGAGAGAGAGAGAGAGAGAGAGAGAGGGGGAGGGGGATGAGGAGAAAGAAGGGGGAGGTGGTGGGGGGTTAAACCTTCGCCGTGATCCTGTAGCAGAACATACTGTAGCAGATTTCATCTTGTGTCGATTCTGACATTATCCGTCATCATGCACATCACTGAGGAGTTTTTGGTGGGATGCGACAAGTTGCTTGCGTCGGGCTCAGTGTGGGAGAAATAGATAGAGGAGCAGACAGGCAGGCGCGAGCGCTCGTCCAAACCGGAGGGGAGGGGGGGAAGAGACGCATTCTCCCCGAGTACACACAAGCAGCGGCCACATCCTCTGTAGACAAATCCGTGTTCAGTGACGTGTTTTGTATTAGCCTTTTTTTTATGTGCATGTTCAACCCTTTTACATCACTGGGTGATTTTAAATTTTTATCAGGAATTGAGACACACAGCGCTTCTTATTGCCATCAACTCTAATCATCCCCTTTCTATTTATTTATTTTTTTTGCCTCGATCGACCCGTTATTTAGCCCATCCGCCGTCCCCCCTTTTTTCCCTCCATCTCCTTCTCTCTGGGAGTGCGACGCGCTGCGAATCTCTCAAATAAAAAATAAAAAGAAGCCTGCAGGTAAGACCTCTCTCCGAGCTTATTTTAATGATTATAATTACACTGTGTCACTGTTGTTGTTGTTTTTTACTTTGCAGCTTAATGGATCACTGTTCATCCAGTGTAATTTACACGCCACATTGATTTGTTTCACGTTGCCTGCAACTTAGCCCACTACTGACAGTGTAGGCTACTGAATTTACAGGGGAAAAAAATAATGATAATCATTCTCAGACTTCTGCCACCTCTCTGATTAAATACTGAATGATCATTTTCCCACCTATTTCCGCGGGCCTATAATTAGCGACTGCAACGTCTATTATGCAAATGAAACCCTTATAATAGCTCGTTTGAAGCTCTTTCTGCATCCGCACCGCAGGTGTTGGGACTAAAATATCTGTTGTATGTGCTGAAATGGGTCGGCTACTTATCCAACAATCAGGAGTTATTTCTGTGTCTTAATGGGTGATTTGTGTCCCAGTCCACTGAGTTTTCTCTGTACCGGCCGCTTGATGCTAGGCGTCCATTTTCCACCGTGTAGCCTATGCAGGCAGGGTGATGTGTGTAGCTTACTCTATTAATGAATGCACCGCAGTCCGCATCACTATACTTGAGCTTTTGCACGCTCTCAGCCCCGTAGCTCCGTGCTTGTAGCATATGAGTCTAATCAGTGGTCAGCACAGCTTCTGCAGCTGGACTCCTCACAGTGCAAGGCCAGCATCTTAGCTTCATGTTGGACCTGGGCCACATCATGTTATCTGATGCGTTATGAGATTCATTTTCTATTCAGCCCACTGTCTCCTCTCACTGGCCAACCTGTGCTCTGACAGATCCAGAGGTAAAGGGCACCAAACATCTGGCACCCTATCAATCATTCATTTTTCATCACAGCTCAGATCACATCTGGGCTAAAGGTGGAATGAAATGTCTTGAATTGGAGTGTGCACTGCAGCATTCAGGAGTTACCGTGCTCTGTCAAAAAACACGGTAGTGAGTTATTGTATCTGTCTCTGCTGGGGCTGCAGCCTATTGACAGGTGCAGGTGCAGCTCTGAATGTTTCCTCAGAGAAACATTTGATGTGAAATAACCAAATGTGGCCACTTGCAGTTAATAGCACAAGCTATTTCCCCACTGAGCTGAGCTTTTGATTTAGGTGCTGCATCTCTTCAGGAAGGGGGACTGGCCTTTCCTTTTTAAAGTGTTCATCAGCACCTGCTCCTTTATGGCTGTGATGCAGATGCAACTTCTGCAGCTCTCACTTGATGTGTCACCGGGACTTTGGAAGTTAAACTTTTTGTTCTTTACATCATCACACTCAATATGTGGGTAGTTATTGATAGTTAAATGGTAGTTTTTGTTTATTTAATTGTAAATAAATGCGATTAGGTTATAGTTAATTGTAGATTAGAACCCTAATTGCACAATTAATTCATTGCCATTCTGTACAACTCAGACACATTATAAAACGTGGAGTTCATTTAAATCACTTTTCCTGACAGTATAAATTATAAGTTTACACACTGTTGCACCTTAAAGGGCATGTTGGGCAAAATGAATGGCAACAATACATTAAAACATTTTCCAAACAGTGACGAGTAATTTTTTTCACCGTGGTGCTGCTGTTGACTGCTCACCTCTCCATCAATGATCAGTGAATCTTTCAGTGAGGTGTGGCTGCCCCGCCGTCTGTTGGTCACACCCCCTCAGCCCCTCCACCTCCCACGTGGTAAACAGCGTCTGTACTAAGTGTGTGTGGCCTTGATGATTGTCTCTGTGGATTTTGGATTACTTTCAAAACCCCTCAGCCGGCTGCTGTTTACGCTGTAAGGTGACTCATTGCAGTCAATACTAGCCCACACAGGCTGTAGTTGTTTTTTAGCGCCGGCCAAATCATAATCATCTAATACACGAGCGGTGCAGAACAATCGGAAAGAACTGTAACTCCTGAATGTTTCCACTTGTTTTTTGTTCTTTCCTTTTTTACCATTATTTCAGAGCTGGTTGGGTGGTCAGGTCTGTTCATCTCCTTCTCACTCTCCGTTTCTCTCTGAGGAGAAGAAATTCTGCAATGGTCATCACATCTGTCATGTAGCTATTGTTAGAGGATCAATGCCTTTTCGTGATGGTCTACAGCGAGAATTCACAATGTTCCCTCTTCTCTTCAGACGGGGACTCAGGAGGAAGCCCAGTATTGTATGAGAGGAACAGACACAGATACTTTAATTTAAAGATGATCTCAGAGTCCGATAACAGGTCTGATTATCAAAATATCACAGTTCAAGCACATGTAACGTCTAAG